TTGTCATCTGGTGTGACGACCAAGTTTCCCAACGTGTCCTGCAAGGGCCCCACATTACCTGGAACCTTCTTTTTACCCCCTATGTATTTAAAAAAGGACTTCTTATTGTCCTTAATCTGGGAAGCTAGTCCCAGTTCCATCTCTGCCTTGGCCTTCCTGACTGCCCCCCTACATCCCCAAGCAACTGCAGAATAGCCCTCCTTGGTGATGACCCCTTCTTTCCATTGGGTGTAAGCCACCTTTTCAGTGGCCGGAGCAAATCCAAAGGGGATCTGTGGGGAGCCAGGAGCTAGGCCTCCCATGTCAGAAGAAGTATTTGATTTGGAAACACGAGATGCTGGGGTGCCAAGGACCTAGGGGTGTCTGACTATTCCCCAGCCTTCTCGTGCCCATGGGAGAGGAGATGAGTCAAGGAAGGGAGAGCAAACACATGGAAACCAGCCAAAGTGACCACACGAACGGCAGCCACAGCCAAGCAGCAAGGGAAACCCTCAGTTCTTCACTGGAAGTGCAGGGACATGAAGAGTCCTTGTCTCTGGGGCTGCGTGAGCAGTGAGGGCCTGCAGGAACCTCCTACCATGCCTGGGGCCAGGCCAGGTAGAAGGAAGAACAGGGATTGCAGGGTGGGTTTCTTTGGAGAGGACTGAAGTGCTGATATGCCAAGGATGCATTCCCCCTTGAGAAGCAGAGATAAAGCCTGCTATCCAGACCATCCTTATCCTTTCTGAGAGGAGCTGCAGGGGGCCCATCTCCCTTAGTGTGACCTATCTTCAACATTAGGAGCTCCCCAGACCTGCCAAGCCGATGCCTTGGCCTGCCTGCTTGTTACCCAGGAATCAGGGTAGGACAAGCACACATGCATGCCAACGCTGCATCTAAGTGCAGCAATTGCTGGCTGTGCTGGACCCTGACCAGCTGCACCAGCACATCTGAAGCTGCAAGCATGATCGGAGCACCGTAGCTCTTTGCCCCGAATAGGGGCACGGATGCCAGCTCTTCCACCCGCGCTGAGCATCCTCGGAGACATGTGCCTTGCCCACTGCAGCTTCCAGTATTCGCAGGTTCAGGAAGTTTTGCTTTCCTTCCTGCACCTCTGTCTACCATGTTCGGTACCTCCTACCAGGCCTTCCCACTTTGAGTTTGTCCAAACCCTTTTCCAGCTGGGTTAAGCTACTCGTCTCTGCAATGTCTTGGAGCAATGAGTTCCACAAGTGAACTACATGCTATGTGAATAGTTGTAAAACTGCTATTGAATAATTTCATTGTATTATGTGATAGGAAATAATAAATCCCTCTTATCTTTCTCTGCACCATTTAATATTTTGTAAACTGTGATCACGGCCCTCCCCCCAAAGTGTCTCTTTCTTAAGCTGAAAAGTCCTTGCCTATTTGGATTAGTGGCTGGAGCTGCCAGCGCTAAAGGGTGAAGCAGCATCTGATGGTGCCTGTTGTCATAATCTCTCTCAGGAGCTCCTAGCTTCCGTTCAGATGGCCTGCTGTTCTGAGATGATCTCCTGGAAAAATTAGGATTTAAATAGGTCACCAATAAGATGCATGTTCTTAGCCTCCCAACGCTACTGACTAAACCTCGTGGGCTCAAGGCGTGCTCAGTGAATTGCTTTTCGTGCTGTCAGGTATCATCTCGGGCAAAGACCTGATGTTGAGTGCAGTCCCTCCTCTCACAATCTAGCCAGGGGCCGATCACTAACACTTTGTTATAGCATGCCACGCAGGGATAATGACGTTCCTGGGCAAGGGAGCCGTTCTTCCTGCTAGGGAAATCAAGGGACTTTTGCCACTGACCTGACTGTAAACAGGTCTGTTATGTCATGAAAATATAATCTTCGGGTATCAGAACGACATCCCACCGTGGCACCCGTGCACCTGCCAGGTGCCCCATGGAGGTTGAATTGAGGTCTCTGTTGGCTTTTGTGGAAGGTGGAGAACCCAGCCCTCAACCCTTTGCAAGCCACTTCGGATGCATTTCTCACCATCGTCTTTGCAGAACTTGCCTCTGCAAGTTCAAAGCCATTAGATTTGGGCTCCCCTTAGCTGTGGATACTAAGGGTAGCCAAGACAAAAAATGAATTTTGATGCAAGCTGTGCCTTCAGATTCACCAGGTCCCAAGCATGTTAGCTCAGAGCTCTCTGTTGGCCAAGAAGCCAATAATAATAGACATAAACTGCAAAAAAGCCCACAGCTACTACACTCCCCGTGTCTCTAAGCAGGATGTGTTGTTGGCAACAGGAAAGAGGAGGTTCCCATGGGAACTGAGAGTGCTGACAACTCTCAACTAAAAAAAGAAAGCATGTGGTCTGCCGCTCTACGTGGACATGGCTGTACAGGTGCATTTCCCTCTTTCCAGTAAGGAGCTTTTCTGCAACTGATGGTAAGAAGCCTTTAAAATAATTCATGCTTTAAGGTACTGGCATATTTTATCTCTAGGGCACGAGGCAAGCACAGTTTATATTTATCTATTTTTGCCACACTTATTTCAGGCAGGTTTCCTGGAAACTTAATTTTGATGTGAGAATGCATTGTGCAGGCTTCACATGTAACTACAGCGAAGAAGCCAAAGTCCCCACGTAAAACTATGCCAAGCCATTTATCTCCCTCATGCAAAATGAGTGAGATCAATAAGACAAATTAAAATGCCATATTGCTTTAGTTGAATTATGTGCAAGAGGCAATCCAGAACTGTACTTCCAGTCACTCGCTGCTTGCTAATTAAAAGCCTTGAAGAGTTTTAAATGGAAATACCGGCTATTGTCTATATGAAGAGAGCCACCTGCCTGGAGTGAGAGTGTGGGGACAAGCTAAAAGAGACACCCCCTCCCTTATACTATGGGCTCTAATTCAGACTGCAACTGCTAATGCCAGCTCTGCCGCCTGGGCAAATGCAGACCACATGCTGCAAACGATGCCTAGGGATGCTTTACCCTCCTACAACTATGTGTTGATGTGGTGACCATGTGTGGGGTCCTGTTTCTCTATTAACTCTACCATGCCCACATGCAGACTTGAATTTTAACATTTCCTTAATACAGTTTTTAATTCCATGAGTGCAAAACACAGTGTAAAGCTCATCTTGAGAGCCACCTCCTGAATAGCTTCGTTATTTAAAGTGCAATAAACATTTCCGCACAATCGTGGCAGGGCGAGTCCGCATCTGCTCATCTCTAGCCGAGGTCCAGGCAAATGCATTTTATGAGAAGTGGGAGAGGATTATGAGAGTGCCACAGCAACGTCCTAGGGCAGGAAAAGAAATGAAGGGGAACAAAGCAGAGAAAGGCATCGCCTGTCGTGAGTCTGGGCTCTGAAGTGTTATGGGCCTGACAGATTTATAGACAGGACTTGGAGGCAGTGAACAGCCACTGCCAGCGCCTGCAAATGTTGCGAGCATTTCAGTGGGCTGCTAATAGATCTACAATGGCCAGAAAGGTCATTGCCTTAATGGGAGGCAGGGAAACAAACCTGATGGAAAATTTCCCTCCGTATGTGCTGTACAGCAAAGACAAAGACTTTCTGCCTGGTGGGAGGCACAGGCTGAGCTGGCAGCCAAACTGGGTAGGAGAAACAAAGATGGTGCAACTGAGCTGGACATAAAAAAAACCCATGAGAGAGCCTGGGGACCCCATGCTGAGTATCAGCCCTCGAGGCAATGACAGCTGCGGAGAGCTCAGAAAGTTGGCTGCAGGGAAGAAACATAGCCAAGGTAAAGAGCCAGAGGAAGACACAGGGATAGCAGGCAAGAGTGAACAACCCTGAAGCTGGACTGCCTCGCCTTGAACCTGGAGTCATGAAAAAGACCCAGGCCCACGGAGGAAGGGGGAAGAGTGCCAGCCAGACCTCGTCTTGGGAGTGCTCCAAGACTAGCACAAAAGGCAGGACCCTCGGGGCGAAGAGCCGGTTCCCTAAAATGTGTGTTTATGATTTATACTGCAGGAGCATCTCGGTGTCCCAGCCAGGCTGCGAGCTAGACACACTTGTGGAGAGCTGTCATGCCCAAAGTCCGGGGCGTCTACAAGGCGGGATGGAAGAGGCGCCCTCGTGAGCACAAGCACGTGTCACTTGTGCATAACTGGCACGTGCAATAAGCTGATCACTGCCAGCGCCGGGCTGGTAGCAGGTGGCAGCAACGTGGAAAGTCAATGGCCATGATTGAAACGGGGGTGGTGAGAGGAGGGGAGTTCCCTGCCGTACATAAGGTGGAGGGAAGGAAGCACGATGGAGGGAGCACTGATTGTCCGAGCCTTGGAGAGCAAGGAGAGCAGAGCCCCACGCTGCTCCCGGTTCACCCGATGCCCTTGGACAGCGTGGAGCCCAGCTCTGACACGGCTCCTTGTGCCCCAGGGTGGCCAGGGCAAGGGGAGCCCCGAGAAACGCCGCCACACAAAACCTCCTCTCGTGGCCGTGCAGAGGCAGATGTCTTCCCCCTACCCCAGCAGGACCCTGCCAGGCTGGGTACCAAGGCAGGACTTAACCCCCAGCCTCCTGGTGCTCTGGTGACAGAAGCAGGAAGACCAGTGGAAAGGTCAGGCCTCTCGGCATCAAGAGCTCATCCAGGTTGCTCTGAATTTTCTTATAACTACAGCGTACTATTCCACCAGGCAGCCCTTCCCAGACCCAAACTTCCCTCCAACCACATCAAAAATAGCAGGACATTCATTCAAGCAGGACAGGTGGATTTGTCACCGGTCGTAGAGACAAAAAAGACACAACGCCTCCAACCCGAGCTTGTGCCGGTCTCGGCGGCTCCCTCACTCCCAGAGCGGATGAAGAGCTCCCCGTCTTATCAGAAAATCACACCAATTCGCCGCACAGTGAAGTGGAGGGTTTGCTACTTTCCCCTTATTGGGAGTTTTCCTCCCTGAAGTCACTTTCCCAAAGGAAGCCGATTGCCATTTCTAACTCGTTTGGTACACGTGAGAGAGACCGAGAGACTTGTTTGAGACACGGGGGGAATGTGCTTAGTATTGAGAAGCACGTGGTAATTTTGGAGGGGAGAATGGCTGGTGTTGTTTAGGAGAAGGAAACCTCGCTGGAGCATGCAGACGGAGCCAGGCCCACCCACAGTCCCAAACGCAAAGGGCATTTTACAACAAGCTCCTTTTGAACATTTATGCCTTTATTGCTGGAGGTGGGGGAGGAAACTCATCACTCATGGACTATCTATGGATAGGGCAGCAAAACCCAGAGCTACCCCAGGCTGGCAGGCCATCACATTACATTTTTTAAGAGAGGTTTAACAACTTTTTAAATTGTTATTTTAAGAAAATAATAAATGAGAAGGGCCCTGGACTCTCCCCGCTCCCCCAGGATATGCAGCTTCCCAAACTGCACAAAGCATCACTGGCAGAGACATGGTGCTGCGGGAAAGCCCACCTCACAAGGTTTCTTCCCTGCTTCAGGAGAGGCAGAGCCTCTCTTAATCATCGCAGCTGAAGGAGGATTTGTAAGGAGTGTGTGTGAGCGTGTAACACTGCAAGCCCACTCTTTTGTTCCCATTAGTGCAGAACTGCAGCAAGATCAGACCAGCTCTTTTCAGCTCCCTGCTGGCAAAAGGCACAGCAAGAGGAGCCAGGAGTTCCTCTACATCTTTCCTTCCCAATAAAGGAGCAACTTCTCACCTCAGTCACAGCAGAGAACGGGGTGGAGGTGGTATAAGTTCACAGGCTCAGCATTTACTATTAGCCCCTGCTGTGAAACTACCAGTACATTCTGCATCCTGGCGAGGATCAGAAAAAGGAGAGGTGCACACTGTGAGCAAATTTTCGTGGCAAGCAGAGGAAAGTTGCAATGGAAAAGGAGTGAAAGTCCCGTGAAAGGCACCGAAGCCCATCAGGACTCTGACTCTGTTTCCTTGCAAGAGTTCTGCTCCGAGCAGCAGTCAGGACTCATGGGAGAGGTGATATCTTTTATTAGACCGACTCGATTTTTGCCAAAAAAAATTCTTTAATTGCAAGCTTTCAGGCACAAACTCCATGCTCTAAACAGCATGCATCTTGAAAGCATTTCGTAGCCCGCCCCACACCGGGAGCAGGTAAGCACCTGCAAGTGCTTGTTTTACAGGCGGGGGAGACTAAGGCAGAGAAGTCACTGAGCTGCCCAAGGCTTGCAGCTGACAGTGGGATGGGAACTCACCCCTCTCCACCTCACCCTTTCCAGGCCCTGCAGAGATGACGGAAGAATTTGCTGGGGCCTGAGCTCCACCTGCAGCGGCGGGCACGCTCCAGCCTGGGGATTTCTTGCAGCTCGCCCTCTCTTTCCTTTCCTCGAAGTACATCAACTTGCGTGTTTCTAAATATTGGTTCTCCGACGCGCCCGGGGAATATTCCGAGCTGCGCAGGTTTTCCCACACCCGCCTTCTTTCTCAAGATACCTCGCTGTGGGACTGTCTTTTGGGGGGGAAGAAGTATGATACTGAACGCATGGATGCCAAGGGAGTGGTTTCCCAAGCAACAGTAACCAGGCGAATTGAGCGAACGTCCTCTCTCGGCTGCGTTCTGCCATAAAACTTCCAGCCAGAGGTAGCGGGTACTCGGGTTAGAGAGCTCCAGGGATTGAAGCAGGGGTTGCAAACTGCTCATCCTGCTTGCTGCCCCGTGGGTGGCATCTGACAACTTACTGTAGTCACCTAAGTCAGCGCACCCCTAATTAGAACAGGGCTGCTTACAATCACGGCACTTTATTTTGCCCCAAGGAGGCACGGGCGGTTTCAGAAACGCATGCTTCTCAATGCCACGGAGCTTATTTTCTAAATCGGCTTATGCTGCTCTCCCAGCCTCCTTTCAGAGCCGGCTTGCGTCGCGCCCAGTGTCACAGTGTTCCTGCAAAGTGACGGCTGCTGCTTTATCAATGCGATGCAGAATGCACCTAAAAATAAGCCTTCACGAGGAGGAATGGGCATTTCCCAGCTCTGGGTAGCCATGGTTTGAACACAACCACAATTGGCTCTCACTACAGGGGTGAGACCAGGGGTAAGGTGGCCAGCAGCATCTCCCTGCGCACGTTACCCCAGCACCCTCAGAGGCAGAGATGTGCTGCCTTCACAGCCAAGCGAGCTCTGCCCAGCCCAAGAGCTCCTGCCTCGTGGCTGCTCCCCTTCATCCTGGAGGGACAGCCTGCCTGGCTGCTATCCCCTGGAGGACACGCTCCTGGCCACCTCCAGGAAGGGCCCATTTGCCACGGGCAGATCTAGGATATTGGAAAGGGCTGTGGCACACCCTCACGTATAACACAACAAGACATGCAAAACTCTCAAACTCTTGGTTCAGAGATGATACCTTTTATTAGACCAACTAAGAAAATCTTTCTTTGCAAGCTTTCAGGCACTCACGCCCTTCTTCAGCCCAAGGGAAAATTAAAAATAGTCAAAGTCCCCTTAGG